TTTTCCTTTTGCAAGTCTCAAAGCTCGACTTAGAGCAATTACTTCTGCTCTTTGGGCTGACTGCTGCCCTTCAAGTCTTCCAGCCTCTTTCACTTCAAATGCAGCCCCTTTCCTACAAACTACCGCGTAGCCTGCTTTTAATCCTTCTGGAACAGCTGGAACGCCTCCTGAAGAAACTGGAGGAGGAAGGCGTAGCAACACCACGTAGTGTAGCACAAACGCTTTATGCATTGGAAAAGGACTTGGCGGCCTCAGGAAAAAGCAACACACGAAAATCCAGAGAAGTGTCAAACCTGGAGAGGGGAGGATTCGCCCCAAATTTTCAGGCTCCCACAGGAATGACGACCCTTCGCTCAGGGAGGGTCCTGGAGGAACCAAGAGATAAAAGACCGTCCATCTTTGAAAAGAATCGGAAGAAGACTGGTGTATTGCCAACTGAAGAAGGGCAGCGTGACGCAGAGGAGGAATTACCCCTGACAATGCCTTTATTGACGGGTGCACGGGGTGAACCAGTTTACCACCCCTATAATATCAGAGATCTTGAGGCTCTGGTGAAGCAGCTGCCTCCCATCACAGAGGGAGGAGCGGCTTGGTTGAGAAGACTAGGAAATCTCACAGAAGGAGAGGAGCTAGCCTGTTGATAGGGCAGACTGCCCCCTACTGGTATGATTGTTGTTCCTGCTGTCAGTGTGGTCCTGGGATTATCTTCTGTTACGCCAAACCAGAAAAAACGAAATCAGGTTTTTTTTTCTCTTTCTCTCCAATTACAGAATCATCCATCCACTCTCTTCTACTTATACAATTCACGGTCAACCCACGCAGACATTGGGACACCATTCAAATTACACACAGAAAGGCCCTAGTACCCAGAACCTTCATCTTGTGAGGCAACATTGCTGACAACTGTTTTGACCATGCTGCCTGCAATTGGAAAAAATATTCTCAGTCTGATCATTGGACTCATTTGTGGAGTTTTACTTTTTCTTCTTCTTCTGCTGTTGTATTACTTCAAATATTCAAGGGGTGAGACCATTACCCATCTAATATTAGACTGAATATGATGTAGTTATCCAGAACCACATATGAAGACTACATGCACTGTTACTGCACCAGTGACACAATACATAAAATCAATGCAATTGTCTTTTTTACAGATTCCTTCCTTATGAGGTTGGTTCAAATCTCCCCTCTCCCATCCTGTGTTTCTTTGAAGTTTTACTACATTATGTGTCCCACCAGAACTGGGAGCACAAATCAGAGCTCTGCAACGAACCACATGATCAACCAGGATGAATCTCAAAATGGTCAACATGCTCCTGCTCTCCCAGGTCAGCCTTATCCACAATAAGTTTTATTAATTTTGTTATGCATGTGACATTCTGGCTAGTTTATTTAAAAGATGATCAAATCCAAATATAAAAATTTTAATCATTAATCTAACATTTAGTTGATTTGTATAGGTGAAGCTTGTCTCGATTAATCAGTCGAAGACCACGATGACACACAAAATGCTGAAGTATATGCAGTGAATTATACATGTGTAAACTGTGATTATGATCATTTATGTATAAATGTGTAACTCTTTTAGTTGAATCTGGAGATTTCACATATTCTTTGATTGAGCTTAAAAACTTCACTAAGGAAGGTAAGGATTTTATGTTATAAAAATATAACATACTGTAGTTTAGTGTTAGGGTGGAAGGATCCACTGACAGTGGCCCTGCTAACCAGGGAAGGAAGGAAGGTTGCACTGATCTGACACTTAAATGAACGATAAAAAGTTATCATAAAATCTTATTCTTTAGAGCAAGAAGCTCCAGCAGTCAGTTCATGTGATGGGTTTGGTGTTGACTGAAAGAAAATGTAAATGTCAAGAAAATTAAAGCACTTCATCATTTCTTTGGATCCTGATTATTTGTCCATCCTCTTTTAGATGGCAATGTGTTGTACGCACAGATCTCCCACAATGAAGCTAAAGCCAGAGTCAAAGGTGAGTAAAGTAGTACCTTATTTGTTTTGCTTTCTTATTGGGAAATTCAAAGAAAAAAAACAAAAACAATGAAAGCTTTGCAGTCATCAGTTTTAATGTCACCAGCAGTCACCCTTTTCTTCAATTGCAGGAAAATCAGCTCCTGCAGCAGGTGAGGAAACAGTTTATTCTGAAGTAAGACTAGCAGTTCTTGGTAATTGTACTTTTTCTGCAAAAATCAACTGAACGGAGGACAATGCAGAACTGATTTCTTCTGAATTTAACAAATCATCGGGAAAAAGAAAATGAGATGGAGATTGCACTGTTTTTGAAGTTTAAGAATATATAAAAGACTTGTGTGTTTTGTTTATTATTGTGTTATTGTCATATTATTTTCAAATGCATTACTAGGTACTTTGTTTCTGGCAGCTTGCAAAAAGCATGATTTATTGTCATTTCTTTCACTGAGTTCATGAAAGATGTCACATGATGTCATGAAGGTATCATAGTTTGACAGTGATTAACGTCGTATTTTAACACCAATAAAGTGATTAATAAGAGCTATTTCATACCTGCATATCCTGGCGTGTCCTGAAATTTTGACATAATAAAGCATTCTTCACCAGCACCTCCCTGCAATACTCTATACTATTTAATAGATGTAGTACTTTTAGAATTAATTTTCAATCAATTCAAACCTGCAAAGAAACAGTGATAAATATGTAGCCATGAATGCATATAAAGCAAGATTAAACTGTCACAATGCACGCCGAGAACCACGGCAGAAATGGCAAAAACATTTAACAGGGTTTATTGCAAACACACACTAGTATATTGCACAGGGAGACATAGAATATGCTGGGGTGTGGCGTGGGTGGTGTGGTTACGAGGTTGTGTACCTAGACAGTGAAAGTGATTTACAGGCAGGCACGTCTGAAGGTTAACTGAGAAGAGAGGAAAATAGAGTTAGGATGGTGGCGAGGAGTAGGGAGGCTTGGAGGTGGTGAATATTACTGGTATTGTGCTTTCATCTCCTACGTCATTTCCTCTCTCACCTGAAGACCGCTGTGAGAATCAAGTTCTTTGATTGATTCTTCCATTGCCTTTAACATCATTCTTCCCACAATTCTAAAAGACAAGCTGGAGAATACATAAGTGGACCATCACCTCACTACATGGATACTGAACTACCTCACCGACTGACCACAGTATGTAAGAACTCAGGGCTGTGTGTCGGACAGGATCGTCTGCAGTACGGAGGCCCCACAGGGAACGGTTCTGGGTACGTCTTGTACTTTGTGCCGTGACCAAAAAATTTCCCATGTGTGGGACTAATACGGAGCCCCGCAGGGGTCATGGGAGAAAAAAAAATTAAGACGGACTTTTGCGAGATCTCGCAAGACTAACTCGACTAAAAAAAAAAGACTAAAAAAAAGAGCACAATGCTGACACAATACCCAAGTATGATTTGAAACAGAAGCTTAACGTTTCTATGGGGAGTAAATTACACAGGAGAGAGTGTGTGGGCTGCACCTGGCAGACATTGGTGTATTATCTGTTTCTCTCATGTTATTATAATAACTTATAGTCCAGTCCAGACTTATTCAGTCCAGTTTTTTAAATATGTTTCTCAACTACAGCAGATGTCCCCACTGCTGAAATCTCTTTGTTTCCTGTTCTGATGATCGTTGGACTAATTTCTGGAATTACATTGATTTTCCTCCTGCTCTTGTTGTATTGCTGCAAAAAGTTCAAAGGTGAGACTTTGTTTTTTTTCTTCTTCTGATATTAGATATTTTATTTTTTAAAATGACTAAATAAACAGATGCAGCATAGGGTCATGAAGTGTGAACTGTTCACAAGAATGTATAATCCACAAGAACATAAAACAAACATATTGTTTATAATTTTTAATAAAGGTGCTGCTAATGAGCAAACGCTCAATCGGGATGAAGATCAGCAGCAAGTGTACTCCTCTCTTCTTCATGGTTAGTTTTTCATGTAGTTTCAAAAATTCTGATGCTATTTGCAACAAGACTGTACTTGTTACATCTGCTGCAGCTTTTAATATAAATGTTTTTTGCAAGTATATTTGTGTTTAAATTAGTATCACAGACATGAGGTGACTGATTTTCTCTGACCTGCAGGTGATCGTTGTGTCTATGAGACAGTCAGAAGATGTGAAAACACTGAAAATGGTAAAGTTTACACTTTCATTAATACAGAGCTTGTGGAAGCTGGATGATTATACAATAACTGAGTTTAACATGAAAGTCAATCAGATTCTTATTTCAGGTCCAGCAGAAGGTGATTACAACAATGTCACATCTGGGATTCTCAAAGTCATTAACAAGACAAGTGAGTGCACAAAATGTGAGATTTGAAATGCAAAATATACATTGGTAATTATTCTCACTGATAATAAATGCATTTGTGGACAAAACAGGGGGAGTTTGTTTTGAAATGCTTTCATTTGATCACCTCAACAGGGCAACGTGGTGACCCAGAGGAGAGCTCTGACTACAATGATGTCAATCCAAATTCAGCCACAGCTCTAAAATCTTAACAGCAGCTCTTCAGCTGTTTTTCTCTTTTTCTCTTTAAAGTCTCTTAAAAACTTGAAGTCACTTTTAGTGAAAAGGAGATTTTGAATTCAAAGCAATGATCCTGATAGTCTGAGTTCATGTTTCTTTCAAATATATACCATAGATCCGTTTTTTGTAGCTGTTACATGCTGAATAAATGTGTCAGACTTGTGAAACAGAGTTAAATGAACAAAAAAACAACAACAAAAGAAAAAAAGTCCAAATGGCAAAATCTAGACTTTTAGCCATAAAAGTAAACATGTACAAATAGTAAAATAGGACATAGAACTTTTAGCACAAATCTGTATTTTCATTTCATATGTATGTATCAATGAAATTGTTGGAAAGGCTGTCAACTGTGTGGGAGATCCCCCTTGTGGCGAGAGAGCACAGTTGCACTATTGAGCATAATGGTATATGGTCCAGAGCACAGAGTTTTAACTAACATATAGTAAGAGCCACCTTGCAGACTAACTCAGCAGTGGATGTCTATGCAAGGTGTGAGTTTTGTGTGTCACTAAAGAACTGTGAGTAGACATTGAGCCCTGCCTTTCCAGGCAGGACAGAAATACTGTTAATTTGGGTTCTTAGTGTCATCTTAGTGGTTGATTGACCCAGCCACAAAAATCCATTTAATGGAAAAAAACAAACCAAAAAAAAAAACAAGACTCCACAAGAACCACCTGCAGATCACCCTGTGTGATTCTCCACTTTCCAAAAGACAATCTTGTGCAGCACTTTGTCCATGTCATGAGAAGTGACACTGCGAGACTTCCTATTCAGGCAAACATCAGATGTCTTGTATGACTGTTTAAAAGAACTAGTCCAGGACCAGGTTAATCCTGCAGTGTAAATAACTGCACATACTCTTTCTCCTGTCATTTTGTTTGATTTCTTATAAATATTCAAATTTTATTGTAAATGTTTTTAATCATCTTTTTAAAAGGTTCAAAATGAGTTTCAGGTCAGTTTTTTCATGACAGCTCTTTTATAATAATCTCTCTTATAATATTTAAATATGTGTCCAAATTGTCCATCACTGTATACCATCCAGTATCACACAATCCTGCTGCCAATCTCTCACTCCACACTCGCCTGTGTTTTGGGCCACAACTCATCCCTAAACCACAGTTAGAACTTCATCGTTTCTGAGCTGAAAATCACAGCTCAGAGCTGTCGGTGCTGATTCTCATTCCCTCCTCTTGACACTCTGTGGCAAATTGCCTCAGTATGAGCTGGAGTCCACCATCTTATGAAGCAAGGAAGGAAGTAAGCACAACTGCATTTCACTAGTAAATGTACGTAATCAGATTTCCATGGCAACTCAGCCTTCATTCTTGTGTTGCTTCCTTTATTTGATCTGTGATACGTATACCTCTAATTCTGTAAGACACATTCAAGTCTATAAACAGCTGCTGTGTTTGCAGCTGTGCTCTGCTATCCAAAAATGTAGCTGTGTAACTGAGCTTCATCATCTGAATTTACTTCATCTGATCTCACTGAAAACAGTTTGTACAAGAGTGAAATGTTTGTAAATGTCATTAATCAGATTTTTGTCATTGAGTTTCTTTCTGTTTTTGAAACTAAATGATTATCTCCTGAATTTTTAAAAGACTGTCATTATATAGTTAGACAATCTGAGCAACATTACTGAGTTACTGAATACTGCAAAACAATTTCATTATTTATTAATACAGTAGTTACGAATACTTGTAAGAAAACAGAGAGGAGCTGAGAGAGGACTTCATCTTGTCTCACAGTCACTTCTGGTTAAGGACACCATTTCCTTTTTAACTTGTGCGCGCTTACTTCCTGTGAGTGAACTTATGACCAAACTAAAATTTCACCATAAGGTAAAGATATGTTAAAGGAGTCTGCATTAGTTTAATGAGATACTTTGAATTAGTGACACTCTGCTTTGTTGATTACAATGTAAAATTATTTTTAGTTAATCATTTCACTTCTGTGAAAGTGCATGGATTACCAACACCTGCTGTGAACATTTACATGAACATCAGTAAGTATGAAGTTTGTGTTCATCAGCTGATACGGGGCTTCACACCAAATGTATTCAATGTATATTTGAAGCAGTGTATAGATTTTGTGCATCAGTCTTTAGTGTATCATCATCTCGTTGCAAAGGAGCAGCAGCAAACTCAGTGACTACATCTGTGACAGGAAGGAAACAGTAACAGTTCATTGGTCCTCATTTATGCAGCTACTGCAGTTTAAATCCATTTGAATGCTGTATGCATGTAGTGTTTATGAGGGTAGTTATCATTGGTGATAAAGCTCCTTATATGCATATAGTGTATAAACTCAAAATGCACATTTCACTTAAAAATGAAGATGTGAAAATGTGAACAAATCAACTTGTTAGAGATATTCATCTCCTGTTGAAAACCCCCCAAAAAGGAAATAAGTCTTCTCATCAGATATTGATGCTTCTTTCCTGTGTGACAAAAAATAGGAGACAGAAGTTTGTTTGTTGTTTGTTAATTCCCAATTAAACTGTTTTATTGCTAACTACATTGCTGTCTGTATTATTGCTGAAGTCCTAAATAATACCTTTAAAGTGTTTGTGCTAATAACATCGTGTACAGTCAGACAGGCATGGAGAACAGCACTGACTGGGAGACTTTGAATAGATCACATAGTTCAATGCAACATATGAGACTTTAAGAATGCACAAGCATCTACTTAAAATCTATTTAATTTATCATCTGTGATGTGATTATGTACAATTCCAATGTATTTTGTTCATCTCCCTTAAATAAACAGGCAGCCTTAAAGTATGAAATATTCATGTACAAATACACATAAATGTGTGAACTGTCTAAGTGGCTGAGAGTGCCCCACAGGCCTCAGT